AAAGGAAGTGATTGTTGTTGAAGGAGATAATGTCAGAAGGTGTTTAATGGGAGATCTCTCAGTTTCTGGCCCTTCAAAGAAGTTTAAAGCTGTTGTTAAGAAAGAGAAGGACTGAATAGCTTTGTGGTTACTTGGGCAACACAGACTTTTATTTTGCTTGATGCTTGATTGAACAATTACTTTTTGTTTGGATATCACTTCTGATCTTCATATGACTCTGTAATTCTGTTTTAGGTTTTTTGTTTGTGATGGATGCTTTGTGTGTGGGATGGTGTTGAGATGCATGTTTTGTTGGTTTAAGCTTCTAATCGTTTTTTATTTAATTTACATATGCATGTTTTGTTACTCGGTCTTTTAATTTAAATATTAGTTTAGAATATATTGCTCATATTTTAGGGTGCATTGATGGAGTGTTTTAATGTTGAGGTACGTTTACTAACTTTTCATAATCTTTAAATGTTTATTTACATTCCATTTGATGTATTCTTTCCATAATGGTTTACTAACTTCTACTGTGTTTTTTTTGCAGTGAAGTTCGTTGTGAGGAGTTGATTGGGATGTACAACACAATTGCATTGGGTTCCTACAGAGCAGCTAGATGTTGTTTAGATGATTTTTTTTAAATGTAGAGTTCATATGAGGTTATTTTTAAGCAACCATGTAGTATAATAGCAAAATATAGAGTTTGCTATGGATCTGAAATTTATGTATCAGTTCATTACTTTTTTCCTGAGTAAAATGAGTTTTATTTTTTTCCCCTGAATTTATGTATCAGGAACATCCCATAGGTTTTTCGTTTAAAAACTTCAAATGTAATTGAGTGCAAAAAAGCTGAAATACATTTACAAAAAGAGAAGTTTTAGAAATTAAACTGTAGTCTCTATTCGTTGGCAATAATGCTGATAGAGAAAATGCTGATGATAAGAAAACTAAATTACTTATGCACAATGAGTTTCTTATACTAGGTGATACTTTAAAGGTTAGTTTTACATAGCAGTCTCTCAAGTAACCAATGGAGAGGATTAAAAACTTTGATGGTAGATAATAGCAATAAAAATAAAGAAAACTAAAAATGTTTTGTGTAAAGAAGTTTTCCAAACATATAGAACGCCTATATAGTATATTTCCATAATATGACTTCTCATTATGTATCTACTTTAGTACTAATAAAGTAGAGTCATCTCAATTGAAATTGATTTGTAATTAAATTGCAATTGAGTCCAATCATTAAAATTGATGATTTTTAGATTTTGCCCTCAAATTAGTATATCTAACACTTATGGAATGCCTTAACATCTAATGCAACTTTGTAGCTAACATGTAGGAGTAATTATAGGTATACTTCAAAGGCTCATACGTATAGTCCTAACATTTAGGAAGTGTCCAACTAATTTGCCTAAATGATGCTAATTTAAAATGCGTGTAGTCCTAACATTAATGATCATTAGAATTTTTTATGTAATTTCAAATTCTGTATATCATATCATATATATATCTAATGAAATTACATATCTAAAACAAAAATGTTTAACTACAGTAACGAAATATTATTAGTTTTTAAATTACTAGATTTGAATTAGAAGATTAAACCTAAGAAGTTATAGAATATTGATACGAGTTGTAGTATGCACATGAAAAGATTTTTTTATAGCAATTCAAATAAAATATGTCATAAAAGTAAGTGATAAATTTTTTAAAGCCAAAACACAAAAGAAACTTAACTTAAAAGGGGTTTTCATTGATATAAAATCATGGACAAAATATTACTCTGTACTAGCTATCTTTGTCCTATTGAAAGGTTTCCATGACAAAACAACAAAGTTATTTAGATATTAATTACAAAAGATTATTCGAGTATATTTTGAGAAATAATTTTGACAGGTATATAATATAGTGGGATTAGTGTTGATAATTTTGATGTAATAGATTACTCGGTATTAGATTATTTATAATACTTAATGATTAAACTGTCATTCAATATTTTTAATCGTTTCCAAAAATAGAAATGTCAACCTTTATATGGAGCGTCCAAAAAAAGAATTTTCTCTCTCATATGTAGTGCTTTTAAGTATATGGTAAGCGGAGTAAGGATGTTTTCTTATGGACTGTTTTCAGTCCCAGACCAGACCAGACTTAAACAGACCAGACCAGACTTAAACAGACCAGACCAGACTTAAATAGACCAGACCAGACTTCCGTAGTTATAAAATACACAGAGACCAGACGTTTACCAGACTAGACCAGACCAAACTTAAACAGACCAGACCAGTCCACCAAATTTCAGTCCAAAAGAAAACATCCTAACAATTGAGCGGGAGAATTTTCTCTCTCATATATAGCACTTTTAAGTATAAGAAGATAAGATAAGCAGATCAATAATTGAGATGTAGAATTTCATCTCTCATATGTAATAATGCTTTTACATACAAGATATGCGGATTGATAATTAGGCGGCCGCGGGCAAATTTTTTCTTTTATATGTAATAATTTTAGGTATAAGAAGATAAATAGACTAATAATTGAGCGGAAAAATTTTCTCTCTCATATGTAGTCTTTTTGGATATAAGACAAGTGGACTAATAGTTGAACGAGAGAATTTTCTCTCTCATATGAAGTGCTTTTAATTATATAAGAATATAAGAAGATAAGAAGATAAGAAGATAAACGGGTTAAAAATTGAGTGAGTGATTTCTCTCTCTCTCATGTAGTGTTTTTAGCTATAAGATCGAAGATAAGCGTGTTAATAATTAAGCGAGATATTTTTCTCTCTTATATGCAGTGTTTTAAAGTATGGAGTATCAAATAAGATAATCAGGCTAAAAATTGAGCGGGATAATTTTTCTCTCATATAGAGTGCTTTTAGATACTACCTCTATCCCGTTTAAAGGTTCTCATGACAAAATGACACGATTATTTAGACAATAATTAAATATGTTAATTCGAGTATATTTTGATAAAATAATTTTGATGAGTATATAATATATTGGGCCATTGATGATAATTGTAATATTGTAAATATATTATTTTTAATCATTGACGAGTAAATGAATATTTAAGAGTGTTAATTGTTTCATAGAATAGAAAATGTGAACCTTTAAGTGGGACGTCCAAAAAAGCAGATTAATTATTGATCGGAAGAATTCCCCTCTCACATTTTCTCTCTCACTGAATTTTAAACTTATGGGGAGACTTTTTTCTATAATTGTCACTTATGTTATGACAATCAATAATTATCAAGCTCTATCATTGGGGAAAAAAATGAAATATTCCCACATAGACGCATTTTAATCCTATAAAGCTTGTGGTATTATTGAGGGTTTAGAAAACATGAATTAATGGTTTTAATATATGATAAGAAAATAAATCATTAGACATTATCATTAAAAGTTCTCTTTAAAATTAAATGCTTTTTCAAAACTCTAACAATTAAATTTAATATTTCATAATCCGATACCAACAATAATAAGATATTGTAAATATATTATTTTTAATCATTGACGAGTAAATGAATATTTAAGAGTGTTAATTGTTTCATAGAATAGAAAATGTGAACCTTTAAGTGGGACGTCCAAAAAAGCAGATTAATTATTGATCGGAAGAATTCCCCTCTCACATTTTCTCTCTCACGGAATTTTAAACTTATGGGGAGACTTTTTTCTATAATTGTCACTTATGTTATGACAATCAATAATTATCAAGCTCTATCATTGGGAAAAAAATGAAATATTCCCACATAGACGCATTTTAATCCTATAAAGCTTTATATATGTGGTATTATTGAGGGTTTAGAAAACATGAATTAATGGTTTTAATATATGATAAGAAAATAAATCATTAGACATTATCATTAAAAGTTCTCTTTAAAATTAAATGCTTTTTCAAAACTCTAACAATTAAATTTAATATTTCATAATCCGATACCAACAATAATAATTATTATTACGTAAAAATTCTAATAGATGGTGTCGATTTGTTTTTTTACTTTAGTTTTCTTTCACTTCAAATATTTATTGTGTGTATTTATAGTTTTTTATGTTCACTCATTGTACTCCATTTTTTAAATGATGTAAAATTGTAAACAAAACTATTTTTATATTTAATCACATCGTGAATAAAAATATATATGCATCAACTGTTTTTTCTCGTGCGTATGCACGAGTACTGTGCGAGAGAAAGTCGAATGACCACTTCTACGAATTCCTCGAGATGTCGTACGTGGTCTATTCGACGGAATACACGTCGATTCTAAAACATTTCTAAAAATGTTAGGTGGTATAATATGATGTTGCATTTATCTTACTTGTGGGAAGAGTTGACAAGACCAACAACACTGGTAGAGCTTTGTGATGAGCATCAACAAGAGCCAATGTCAGTATACATCTCAGGTCAGACTATATCTCGAAAAAAATGTATTCACTCATGGTCAATTATATGTTGCCATATAGAATCAATAGCAAAGAAGGATCGAAGATTTTGATTCGTTCTAAAGATTAGTGACTTTCCTCCAATGTTATAAATGTTGTCTATAGAGAGGTTTACCAGAATTTAGAAACATAGTCTTTCAATTTTTTTATGCCATTTAGTTATTCTAATATCTTATGAATCTCAACTTTATATGAAATATAATATTACTCCGTATATTAAATTAATACATATTTCAATACTTTTGTCAATGAGATTTAAAAAATTCATATATACGAAAGATATATCTCACATATGCAAAGAATTATTAACTAAATATTGGAGTAGCACACTTCTCATTATGTATTCAATTGACAATTTGTTTTTGCAATAGATTTATTCTATTTTTTTTTGAATATATAACCATCCTTTTTAAAAATGTTTTGCTTAAATTTCATGTGCATCGCAGGGTGAGATACTAGTTAGAAGTAACAGGAAGCTTTAAGAAATCAATTCCCAGTAGAATACTTGTTGGCTGCGCGGCTTATACTAGTATATAATAAATATCGCCTAAAATTGCGGGATTGGCAAAACTTGAGAAGAATTCTAATTCTAAAGCAAATTTATTTTATACGAAATCCAATTATTTACTCCGTATTATTTTTATAAATAAAAAACCGTAATACGGTATATATACAGATTCCCCCATCCATCAATCCCTGACCACTGCCAGCACGCAATCGTCAAGTTTCCTCCATATCATTCCTTCCGGTGGGCCCTTCCGATGACCTCCACACTGCCGTCCTCCTCCCCTTGGCTTCCTCCCCACCCTAATCCTCGCCGTCCTTCATCCATCTTCATGGCCGACGACCACTCCCCCCTCTCCGACATAGATTCAGACGTTGTCTCCACCGCTTCTGCCGAAGTCGACGATCGTTCTGAAACCTCTTCTCTCGCTACTATGAAGAGTTCTGACCCGGACCCGGTCTCTCAAGTCATCGACTCCTCTCACCCTACCCTTCTCCACCTCTCCTTCAACCAGGACCAGAGCTGCTTTGCTGCTGGGATCGACCGAGGATTCCGCATCTACAATTGCGATCCCGTCAGAGAGATTTTCCGCCGCGATTTCACTAACAACAATGGCGGCGTTGGTGGGGGAGTTGGGGTTGTTCAGATGCTATTCCGTTGTAACATTCTGGCCCTTGTTGGGGGAGGGCCCGACCCGCAGTATCCTCTGAATAAGGTCATGATCTGGGACGATCATCAGTCGAGGTGCATAGGGGAGCTGTCTTTTCGCTCGGAGGTGAAGTCCGTCAGGCTTCGGAGGGATCGGATTGTGGTCGTTCTGGCGCAGAAGATATTTGTGTACAATTTTGCTGATTTGAAGTTGCTGCATCAGATAGAGACAGTGGTGAACCCAAAAGGATTGTGTGAGGTCTCGCATGTGTCAGGGTCTATGGTACTGGTTTGCCCGGGATTGAAGAAGGGTCAGTTGAGGATTGAACACTATGCGTCCAAGAGGACAAAATTTATAGAAGCACATGCCTCAACGATATCATCTTTTGCTCTAACTAACGATGGGAAATTGCTTGCTTCAGCAAGTAGCAAGGGGACTCTTGTGAGGGTGTTCAATACTTTAGATGGATCACTGCTTCAAGAGGTATATATACATTTTACATGCATTTGTGAAGTTGTATTCCATCTCTTAGATAGTTAGATGTCTACATTTTCAGTTAGTCTGTTTGTTTCAATCATCAGTTTGTACTCTTTATTTAGCTAGATGAAAAGACATGCGTATACTAGTAGTTACTAATTACTTTGGTATTTAATGAAAATGCTGCGTGTGGTGATACAAAAAGAACCAAAAGAGTGAGCTGCAATACGTGTGCCACAAAACTTATGCAATATGTGTCCCACAAAACTGTGTACTAGGAAACCGAGTACCACAAAACTGTGTGTGGACACTCTCTATGAGTTTTAGAGAAAAAAACAAAATTCTACCAAATGCTTCAAGCTTGTTATGTGTATATACTACTAATCATGGGGTATTGGGATATTAAGGGATTTAGTGAGTTTTAGCAAGACTTGACAAATGTAGCAATCATATCAGCAGAAGTAGCCTTTTTACAAACAAAGTAATAACGAACTTCAATGTTATTTCATGAAAAACATAATTTTGAAGTGATACCTATTCATGTAGTGCTGCTAGACTTTCATAAATCATACCGTCATTCTTCATTTATTTTAGAACTTATATATTAATTTCTTATTTTGTGCTGGTTATTCCTTAAAGTTTCAGAAAATTCAGATGTCACCTTTTCACAATTATGCAGTTTGTAATCAGAAACTGACCATTCTTACCATTGCATAAACTCTATTATTACACTCCATGGACGGACTTTGCACATGGTGGAATTTAATTTTTCAAACTGTACATTGATCGTGTACTTCATTGTAGCTTAGGAGAGGTGCTGACAGAGCCGAGATCTACAGTCTTTCATTTTCTCCTACTGCCCAATGGCTAGCTGTCTCAAGTGATAAAGGAACAGTTCATGTTTTCAACCTTAAGGTTGAATCTGGATCTCTGGGAGTTGAGAGATGTCATGATTCATCTGATGCAAATATCACGACTCCAGTAGCCGCTTCACATCTATCCTTCATCAAAGGTTTATTCTTTCAAAAAGCTATTAGAAAGTTATTATTTTGGTTTAAGGTTGATTGTTTTGGGCACAGCAATTTGTTTACATAAGAATAACCTTGAGACAAACTAATTCTATTTTAACTTAGAGGCTATAACTTGATAGAGGAATTTCATTTTCATATTAAGTTATAGCCTCTAAGTTAAAATAGAATTAGTTTGTCTCAAGGTTATTCTTATGTGGTGGTTTTACTTGAGCTGAAACAAAATAAAGATGACACTTTCTTGGTCAGACAATGGTTCAATATTGTATTAAAAACAAACCAGTTCAAATCTAGATAATTCTTTAATACCCAGTCATCTCTTCATGTAATTTATGGAATTAGTTTTCTCTATTATGTGACACGGTTGATTGCAAATATAAAAATGATGAATAAATTAGTGATAATGAATAAGATATATGAATTCAAAAGTTCTGAACTATTATTAAATTACATAATTACTTAATTTTTATATAATAATTTCTTGTCAGTTTACTAAGTGAGCTTATATCATAATTAAATATCTTTGGATGCTTATATTCAAAATTAAATTAATTAATACTTTTAAAATTTATCAAATATAAAAAGCAGTTATGTTGAATGGTAAATGCATTTTAAAACATGTGAATGTGATTGTTTTCACTTCTCAGAGAGTATGGATGTTTGCTTTTGACATGGCGTTTGGCCCAAAAAATGTTTGAGAGAATATATCGAATACTATTGTTGATGCTCTACAAATAATAGTCCCTGCAATCTCACTTTGGGCATCTCTTTGTTGTGTAGGTGTGCTGCCCAAATATTTCAGTTCTGAATGGTCTGTGGCCCAGTTTCGGCTGCAAGAAGGTTTACAGCACATTGTTGCATTTGGACACCAAAAGAATACCATTGTCATACTCGGCTTAGATGGCAGGTATACTGATCTTTGTAGTTTGTATGGCTGAGAATATTTTTTGTGGATAAAGTATTAGTCATTCAATGAATAGTTTTTCTAAATATTTAAATTACTTTGTCTTTGTAAAGCCTGTGGAGTTCTCAACTTTATTAGTTTTGTATCGTTTTAGTTAATACTCCATCTGTTCACTTTAACTTGCTCAACTTTCCTTTTTTGTGTCTATTATTACTTGTTGCACTCTTCATTTTGGCATGTTCCGCGCTTATTTTCATCTCCTAAAAGACATAAGTACCCTTTCTTTTAATCTTGTCTTCTCTACCATTCTCCTTTTATGCTATATTCACTATATTTACCATTTTGTTCTTGGACTGCAGTTTGGTATTTTAGTATACATTTGCATTCTTGATACCCTTGAAGAATCCATGTTTGACTTTCAATTGCTAATTGCGTGAAATGTGCAGTTTCTACCGATGCCAGTTTGATCCTGCAGCTGGTGGGGAGATGAACCTCCTTGAACATCATAATTTCTTGCATCCTGTGGAGAGCTTCTGATCATTGTTCCCGAGATTGTCGCCTGGAAGTCTGGAACTGCCATTGAGATCATAATAATCTTAATTGCGAGTGTATAAACTGTAAATATACAAGATGATGACATGGGCTATGCTATCTGTAAACCAACTGTTATCCCTAAGACGCACAGACAAGACTCTCGTTCTTATGGACATCCATCTTGTTGTGTGTGTCTATGTGAATAAAAGGTGGTGTTGGTGTAAACGGGGCAGTGTAAAGGTTGGGGTACAACACTTACTATCCTAATGACATGGGGCGACTTCTACAAAACTCGAGATGAGACTGTATAAAATCTTGGTGCTTATTAGTTATTATTATTAGGCTATCACTTTGATGTTAATGTTTTTTATTTCGTTAAATTTATAAATTTCAGTTCATCCACAAAGTTAAGTTCTTGGCGTAACAGCTTTCTAACTTTCAACTTTATCATTGCAAGCAGTCAGAAAAAGTACAAATAAATTCATCCTTCCAAATTTCAAACAAAACTGTTCCAAACATCTAGTCGAAATTTTGTTTCAGAATATGAATCTATGATATGGTCCCAACCCCCAACATTTCTTAATGCCTGGAGTTGGAGTTTTTAAAGTTGATGAGCTACAAAAAAGACAGCGAAAATACTACTGGAAAGGACGGTTTCGTGTTCTTGATGCAATATGATGAGAGATTATTCCTCCTGAAACAATATGATGAGAGATTAACAAATTGTACTATTCATCTTAGGCCATAAGGGTCGGACACTCAAATTCTAGGACACTCAAAGATGTTAGGTAAATTCAAAAAGGGTTTTCTAGTTCGTTTATCACCAAAGACTTCTAGATCCCAATACACCCAATGTCAAATAGCTGCCAAAAAGCATAACCTAGAAAACAAATTACATGCGCCAGCTACACCTTTGTAACTCCAAAGACCCGGGAGTAGTTACAGTCCCCTATATTGGTTTCGCCCTATATTGGTTTCCTAGCAAGTAGTGGCCTAGCAACAAGTGACGTGGAACGAGCCCAGTCAAGTGGGCGAGAGGGATTTGCCTAGTCGAGCAAAAATATATCTACTTTTGGATAGATGGATACAAAAAAGATATATTGGGATAGATATATGTTTAGTACTCTTTGGATATCTTTCTTCTTATACGAAAAAATTTCTGAATGAACTTATAAGAGTTCATCAAGTCCCTATTTATAACGATTGGGCTTGAAGATAAACTATTTTTAAGTAATTTCACACAATTTTACTAGCACTTATAAAATCAAGTTATCTGTCTATTTTTTATTGAAAAAATGGCCCTAATATTACTAGGGACCTTTTCATTTCCTAACATACGAGCTTACTCTTTTTTTCCCCAAATATGAGTTCAGTTAACGACAATTGTTTTTTTCCCGCTGGACTGCGAAATTAGTGCTCTCAGCTCTCCCTCCTCATTAACGTCTTTCCATCTGAACTAAACTCCTACTTGGTAACTGCCTCTTTCTCTCTTTTATTATTCTTCCCTTCCGTAGCTGTAGGATCATCTCCGTCTTCTCCCGCAACCGCCCGTCGCCCCTGAAGAAATGTCACCGCCTTCAACCTCTCGCCGGCGCTCCTTCATCGAATCCGCATGTGGTAAGTGTTTTGAATTTTGTTTTCTAGTTTTCCATTAAATTTAGGAAGTGTAGACTTTTGTTGTTTCATTTCTAACCCAGAACCCAATTCAATTAACTATTCCAATATCACACATAGCCCATCTTTTTGTTGACCGAAAAGCCATGTGCAGTTACGAGTTTTTTTAGATTTAGTTACGAGTTCTCATAATTCAAGCTATATGTGTATTGCATGTTCTTAGTTTTCATCAATTGTACCGTGCCTGTGAAAATAGTTTGCCATTTTGAGTTACTCACTGAATTAGATTACACATACTGACCAATGTTTGAAGTATAAATGTGTTTGGATTGTTATCATTTAAGCCATCAAGAACAACTGAAATTATGAAGGGATGTGAACTAAGCATTTTTCACTCATTTTGTTCTGCAATAACAACCAAATATTATTCAATGGTACACACTACCTCCTTCTGAGCCTAAGCAGGTCATTGATGTCTACAAATGTATCTTGTTTGTCATGTTTTTAATTGACTTGTAGTTCAGTCTTGTTTGAATGTTATTATTATACTTTTATTAATATTAATTTCATATTTATTTTGCTTGTAGCTAACGTTGACAGTGACTTCGTCTCCACTCCTCCCACCTCTCCATCTAATGTTGTAAGTTAACTCTGCTATATAGAGATACAAACATTAATCTTTTTTTTTTCTTTCACCAAGCTAACACCTGTTTTATGTTGTCTAATTTTCCCAGCAACTGAATAGGGTTGTCAAGAAATAGATCGTCAATAAGGACATTACAAGGAGGGTGAACACCTTTTCTAGATTGTATGAGGTCATAAATCTTGTGCGGTCAAAACTACTCCCTAACCAATTAGAACTTTTTAGTAATACAGTTGTTGGGAAGTTCTTAGATGCGAAAGACATGAAATGTTCCGGGCAGCTCTTGCATTTTGTTATTGGAAACCTTGCTAAAATTGGAGGTGGTGATAGTGTCGTAGGTGGCGATTTGTATTTCGATATTGAGGACAAGTTGATATCATTTACCTGTTCTGACTTAAGTCTTATTCTGGGGTTGAACGTGTCCGATGATATTCCTTCTTATCAGAATCTAGTCACTGAGCGGGGTCGGATTTGGCAAAAGTACTTTCCTGATTGTACAACTAGAGTTAAGCGTAAGGATATAAAACAAGTTACCGCACGATCACTACTTGTAATGGATCATACAAAAGCTATATATAATGATCTTTAAAAAAAATCTACACTGTTTGTAAGTGACAGCTACGTTGCCACTACGAAACTTGTAGTCACTATATCTTCCCGCAAATATGTGTAGCTCATCACTAATCAGAATGTACTACGTGATCACTAATCAGAAAGTTAATACATTGTCACTAATTACAAGTTACTACGTGCTCAATAATGGACGATGTCACTACAAAAAGGTTTGGCCGCTATGTCCCTATAATAATATGTGTACCACGTCACTAAACATACTGTACTACGTGATAACCTATGTTGCACCGATACTTCACTTCGATGTCGTATCCGCGTATCCGATACGTATCCGTATCCGATACTCACCGATACCCGTCCTGTACGTATTGGGTCCGTATCCGTAATTTAATAAAAGTATCGGGCTTAATTTTAAAAATACCGATACTTCCGATACCCGTATCCGTGAACCGATATGAGTATCTGAACCTATAACCCCTCATTTTATACACGACATGACGAAAATTTAGTAGCCAACCAAGCGACCACAACATGTGGAACATTGATAAAGATGGTTTCAGGAGTATGAAAAATAATGGAATACTATAATTTGACATTTCATTGCTTGATGATATTTAATTGAAACAAGACTTGGATGTAAATGCAAATAGAGAACAAAAAAAAAATTATTTGAATTTAAATCAAAATATCAATACTTTAGTTTTTTAGACTAATCTTTGAAACTTTATTATAATAGTTAATTTTTGTACTATTATTATTATTATTATTATTTTATTTATGAACCCCTGAATTATATATATTTGCAAATTATACCCTATATTTTTATTATTTATAAATATACCCCCATACCCGTATCCTATAATTTTTGAAAGTGCCGTATCGCCGTACTCGTATCCGCGTATCCGCGTATCGGCGTATCCGTATCCGTGCAACATAGGTGATAACTAATCACAAATTAATACCTTGTCACTAAAGCCATGTCACAACGTCATCACTAATACTCGTTGTCACTACAAAAAAGGAATAGTCGCTATGTCTGTATAATAATATGCGTCCCTCGTACATACTCAAAAGTTACTACGCCGTCACTAATGCCATGTCACAACGTCATCACTAATACTCGTTGTCACTACAAAAAACGTATAGCCGCTATGTCTCTATAATAATATGCGTCCATGAGTTGGGGTTTCGCTTGAATCGGGAAGGAAGAGATGTTTATGTGCGCGTTAGTCTTGACTCACGTATTCAAGCATATTCTTTCCTAACTTTATGGATGTCAGTTACGGATCCCTGGTATTATTTAATTAATCAAATTCTTTCCTATTGTTATGTATTATATAACTGACCAACGACAATTAAATTCTTTCCTTATGTTTCGGTGGCCAGTAACTGCTTCTACTCATATTTTTGGAGTTTTTCAAACATACTCACATTATTGGTAATCGGTGGACTAGAGGTAATATTGGTAAAAAAAGGCCTTTTTTATTACAATAATTAAAAATAGACGAGTGACATGTTGACAAGAATGAACGATTAACACTTGTCAAATGATTAGTTTTACGACAATAGTCACTTTTTGTTCATCTAATTACTAGTAGTAATATAGTACGGAGTACTACGTAATTAAAAGAACTTGGGAAAACTGTCAAATAGGTTCTCGAACTTTCATAAAAAAGTCAAATAAGTTTTCCCAAAGAAATTTAAAGTTTAAAGTTTAACACTCCATTCAAAACACTTCGGAGTAAAAAGGGGGAAATAATTTAAATATCCGAAACTTTGAAGGAGTGTGAGATAAGTACTCCAAAATGCACGTGCAATATATATATACCCCAAACTTTATATAGAAAGTTATATTAGCACCATAATTGGATCTTTTTTCACAAATACACTTTTATGGTGTTAAGTACATAATTTAAAATACACAAAAAGTTATGGTGCCATACCAAAATGGAATATCCATACGTAGATTTGTGTGGAAAAAGAAATAATAATGAAATAGGTGTTAAAACTCGAGGTTATCCTAAAATGTCAACCAGATAGAAGCAGTAGCTCAAAATCTTATATAGTGTTTTATTGTTTTATAACTTTCTAGTGTGTGATGAATATTTTAACATGCCATCTCAATCCGAACCGGGTTGGACAATATCGGGTTGTATAAAATGACCAAACAGAATCCTTAATAAACTACCATTAATCATGGTTGCTAAACAAGAAGTCAAACAAAACCCGAATTTGGCTCTGATACCATGTTAAGACTCGGAGTTCATTTCCCTATGGACTATGGTGGACAATATATTGGCATTATTGCCTATCGAAGATGTAACACCCCGGCCCCACCGGACTCGAGGTTGTTACTCCGGACCAATAGTACTGTTACCACAAACCGCCACTAGCCTTTTTCGCGCACTTTGTCCTCACTCGTGCGCGCCCTGAGAAACTTCCCAGGGGGTCACCCATCCCAAGACTACTCTCGTGCAAGCACGCTTAACTTTGGAGTTCTTGGCTAATGAGCTCCCTTAAAAGGAGATGCACCTTGTTGGTATGAGTAGTACTATTAATCCTCTTAAATTAATCTCGAGTATT